TTAAGTAGATTCCTGATAAAAGATCATGAGAAATTTGTTGGCGTTTCATTTTGACTATAATGGTAATGTGATGATGATGAATTTTACTATATAAAAGTGTCATTTCCGGCCATCTCGAGAGATACTATTTCCTCAAATTTTCTCACCTCAGCTCCAGCCATGGTGGGGCTTAGGTGGTTGTGAAATCACGTTTTTGAAGTAGGCCTATGTAATGTACATAATCAAAGACAATGTTTTTAAGCTTTGTTTTCTATGGTATACACACACACATTAATAAGATCTCTATGGTTGTCAAAAAGCCCTGATAAAAGATCATGAGAATTTTTTTTTTTTTTTGGCGCTTCATTTTGACTAATGGTGATGTGATGATGATGAATTTTACTAAAAGTGTCATTTCTGGCCATCTAGAGGTACAATTTCCTCAAATTTTCTCACCTCATCTCCAACCATTGTGGGGCTGGGGTGGGTGTCGACTCACAAAATGCCCTCCCCCTCCACCTTTCAAAACAGATCTGTGCCCTTCCGGCCCTGGGTATGACATTAAACTCTGTCGAGTCGGCTCCTGATGTATGTCTTAGTGACTGCTGTTTGTTTTTAGGATGTGATCTGGTTTTTCATGTCCATTTTTCGTGATTATGACTATTCTGGATAAAGAATGTTTTGAGCAGAGGTGGATTCAAGGCACCCCCACCCCCTTCATTTTAAAGGGAAAAAAAGAAAAATATATTCAAATTGAAGTGCGAGAGTGTAATTTCCGGCCATCTAGAGATGCCCTAATCATAAATTTTCTTACCTCAGCCCCAACCATGGTGGGGCTGAGGTGGGTGGTTCCTCGATCTGTGAAATTCCATCCCTGGTTCACACCTCTCTTTCGAATTCCTGGATCTGCCACTGTTGATTTATTATATAATTATTTTTTCGCTTATTTATAATGCGTCTATTGCAATTTTCACTTTATCCTCTCAAACAGAACATTCAGAGTGCGCTACTTCACGAGGATTCGCCCCCTTGACCCCGCCGGGGTCATACGTAATTCGCATAACGGCCCCCCCCCCCCCCCCCACTTCCAAAATCCTGCTACTTCCCTGGTTAGTAAGTCAGGTTGAGTTAGTAAGTCAGGTTGAATCCCGCTCCAGCTCGAGACAGCAGATGTGTTCCCGGGTGGATTGGTTTTTCTCACTGCACAGTTTTAGTTTTGTTTGTCGGTTTGCACGTATATATTTTTCCTTCTGTGGGCCTTCACTTTACTTGAAGTTGTACTCGCAATTAGTTTAAGCTTCAAAGTAGGACGATAGAGGGATAGCACATGTGAGAGGGCGGTATGCACTTTTTTGTGATTGTTTTGTTTTGTTAAAACTAAAGGCGGTATCCTCAGGTAAGTATACCTTAGCATACTTCTCTTTTTTGTCTGTTCACACGTGCTCTATTTACATATGCATATTTCCGGATCAAAACCGAGAACATTCCCATACTGCCTTTTTGTATTATGTTTACTAACTGAACTGAACTGAACTTTATTGGAACACTTTTGTATCAGTGACACACACAGTATCAATGGGGATTCTGTTATCAGAAAATGTGTGGTGTTTATTAATTTTTTTTCACCAGATTTACACACTTGACCTTTACCACTCTCACAGAGGTAACTGCCAGACGATAACATAGTGTCTATGACCCCTAGGGTTAAATGCTAAATATTTTTTTATTTGTGCTTTCTATCTCTCTAGTCCTGATGGATCGTAAATTAAAGTGTCCCGGTAGTATTTCCACTCACAATAGTGTAGTCGCAATACAAAAAGAGGAGAAAAACCTCTGGATTGATTTTTTTAATGTACTGTACATGCAAGGAGACTAGATTAGAGTGACTGTTTTAAGTTATGTTTTTACGACTCGAATGCGTCACAAGCTAATCAGTAAATAATGATTATTTTTATCAATGTTAGTTTGCACAAAATATCTAAGCGGGCCTATGACTATGATTACATTGTATGATGAATATTTCAGTGGCAGATTCAAGGGGTCCACCCGCCCCCTCCCCCATATTTTTTTTTAATTTAAAAGAAAGCGGGGAAAAAAAAGAAACTTATATTCAAATTTAAGTCTGAGCTTGCCATATCCGGCCAAATAGAGGTGCCATAATGATCAATTTATGTATACCCAGATATTACCTTGTATATACCTGGTGTCCATTATGTGAAATAGGCCTATGCACTTTTAGACTAGAGTTTAATTGATTCACAGGTGTCTTTATTATTGTCTCTTTCATCTTTTATTGCCAAAAAACAACATATACACACAATTGGCAATAGGAGGTTAAAAACTACATTGCTCCCATCGAGTTAACCCACCAT